GTGTGTGCATGAAAAAACTTCAACAAAGGCTTTCTGAAAGAGAATTTGTGGACAATTGAGAAGAATCCCTTGGTACTATTTCCTAGAATCCCCTAGTATAATTTTAATGCATTTTATAGTCTACAAGCATCGAAAGTTTCCTGAAGCAATACATCTAGATGCTGATAAATTGTATATCAGAGCTCTGTCCCTTGCCATGGGATGCGCCACGACTGCGCTCGTACTCCAAATTAGCGAAGGTCTCTGAAAGTTTACTCCCTTTAGCAATTTCTCGCACCTTCACATATGAGCAATAAAGATATCCTTCATGGAAACTGTACGTGAGTAATGGGTAGAAGCATTGAAGGATGAGAGAGACGAAAATTTCAACGAGACCGTTGATGAGGAAACAGTGCTGCAAAGAACATACCAAATCCTGTAGAACGAAAATAAACCTAAGCAGCAATGTACCGGCGTAATGGGAAGACGAACTTAAACTCATAACGAAATGTCAACATAAGCTTTTACGATACAGATCTAGCATTGCGGAGTAGGTATATTCTATGGTGTAGATCCACCTGTAACTCCCTTCGTACACAAGCAAATGAATAAATCGTATTTGACCCACTTTCCAGGTTTACTTACGTCTTTTTTATTGCCATAAGGTTTGAGTTACGTGAACCCCCAAACACGTAGTCATAAATCACACATCTTTGATGAAAGCCATCGTTGTGCATAGCTGTATTATCTAGCATCACTTGTTAACTTTGCTGACAAGAAGTAGTGCGTAGGGATCGATTGACAGTTTGTTTCTATAATCATGCGTTTTAGGCCATTCTGAGCGAGCTTCTTCAATCGTATTGGAACCGTCACTTCTGAATGCTAACGCACTAGTTAAATTCTTTGTTCTGCCGAATCTCATGAAAAGATCGCATGAGATTCTCATGCTCAAGTTGCTCCACCGGTAAGTTCATCGTCCATAATGTGCCAGATGAAGTACTCGCTTTGCGTGAGGTCCTTTTTTAGAAATTAGCCATATAGGCTGGCCTCTGTTCATGTCCAGATTTTGACTGCTTCTTCGGCTTTCAATACCGATAGTTTATCCTTTAAAAATTCCCTAGCCCCCCACCTCTTTCTACCCATGATGATTTTGTGATAATATGAGCATTTAATTGGTATTTGTATCAATCATACACTCTCTTTGAAGGCTCATGCAGACTGTAGGTGTGAAGGAAACTCACTTCGAATGGTCTACAGCGTTAGGCAAAAGCAGTATGTCTTGCTAATTTTGTTATTTTCTCGAAGGTGAGATATATGATTTTTCATATTTCAGACACTGACGACTTGCAAACACCCGAATTTATTCTGCTAATAGTTGAACTTCTCATGGAGTACGAGCCAAAACATCCACAAGCAGCGGACGTCTGCCACTCTCTCCTGAAAACGCTGGGTGAAAAGCTTGAGGGTACGACCGTTTATTTACTGAAACGACCAATGAATTGGCAGTTTAGTGCACAGTGAGAACAACAGCAGCCAGCCGCCTGCCACTTACCACACTATCGGAACAATAAATTTACTTTGCGAAATAGGTGCCCTAGATGGCTTGGAATCCGGTTGCTTCTTGAAGATAAATTTTTATAAGCTGATTCAGCCATGGAGTGACAGTTCCACAATTCGACATAGATTCGCTTGATGAATACAAAGATTTTTTAGTGAAGAGTAGAAGCTGGACTTAACATTCATTGCGAAAGTATTATATGGTCTTTATGAAGAGTCGTTCTGTTTGGTGGTGAGAGTTTTGCGTGATGTTTTGAATTTTGGACCTCTTTCGCGTCTTTTTTTCATAATCCCATGGAGGTGCAGTGCACTCTCACTCACCCGAGGTACTGCTGACAACCTTCGCGGTGCTTTAATGTTCTCCGCACACCACAAACACAAGTTCACACGCAATCCGGAACCTGGTCGCGGCGTGAATTTATCACAACCCTTCAGACCACACACACATTCACAACTATCATTATATATAAGACACATAAATGAGATACCATGCCTTCATCCACACGATGGCTTTTGACCTTTCCTCCTTCCTCCACCATGTGTCGTCACGTCTACCCGAATTGTCGTTATTATTTCCGGCCCCCACATAAACACACACATCCAACACATCTACTCGCACAACCGCGTAGTAACTCGCGCCTACTGTGCAGTCACCACTTTTAAAACAACTCAATCGCCATTACTTTCTACAAACTGATTATAGAGAATTTATCCTATTTGGCGGTGATCCTGCTCTTACATCTGATTAACTCCTAAAAAACCACATACAAAAAATACCATCACATAAATCACTCACACTCTCTCAAACAATCCTCCAGGACTTCTTGCAGCCGAGTCACCACCCCCCCCACCAAACCCCAAAAACCACCCCCCGCCCCCAAAGTTTTGTGGAGAACCTCCCCACTTGGAAAATCCCACACCACCAACAAGAGCAGTTGGGCTATCACACTCCTACGCACACCATCATCCACATTTTATATACTACCGGCCTTGTATTGGAACCGGTATGAAATTTCCGCGCGCAAAACTCCGACCCACATTTCGGTGTCACGCTCTACTCATCAATACAGATGTCCTACACAACTTGCGATTCCACTCTTTCCCGGTTTCCGGATTTCATCGGACTCAATTGTAAGTATAAGCAAAACTCCTCCACGCTGTACACCATCCCACACCTCTAAAAAAACAACACATTAAGACCTTCCTTCCGTTACAAACTCAATTATACTTTTTCCCATCTCCAGGATTTCTTGAACCGAGTTATGAATTTTTTTCGCCATAACTATTACCGCACTGATGAAGTCGGCCTCCTTCCTTCAACCACACACTCTATCCCCTACCTTTTTCGGCTCACTAAGACTTCTAAGCTCGAATTAGAGAAACATATAAAACATAACACTATATGCTATACCACACACCAATTAATATCTATATTCACATGTATATATTATGAAATTTTAAATACACACATTACCCATGTTTGGACACACACCATCGATATTATATTTTTAACTTTCTTGGTCGCCACACAGCATTGATGCAACACCACACACACACACAATACGTAAGCGGCGTCGCTTAAGCTGATGTGTTTTGTACTTCGTGAGACCTTGCCCACCCGTCCCACACTTGACCCGGTCTCTCCAGGCTGATCCTCAGGAGCTAAAGGAATTTCGTGACAGACATACAGAACGACAGAACGACAGACGAAAGCGCTTTATAGTAAGTAGATCGAAGCCTTGAATTACACTGTAAACCTACCAGCTGCATATTAACGCCTCTCTCAGTACGATCCTTATTCTTACTTCTCGTTGCGGTACTTGCCACTTCACATGTGCTGTTATTAGTAGTGCCATTCGCTTTCTGTGTGTGCAAATGAGCTCATCGTGGGCTGCTCCGGTACAGCGCTTGAAATTTCCGGGCGAAGTAGTGAGAAACGAGATTCCGTTTGCTTTGCCATATCCTGCTCCTTGGAGCAGTAATGCATCCCATGGTTCATTCATATCCTAGGATTGCTCTCATTTAGGCGAAGGCGTGGTGTTCGAACAAGAAACCGCAGATTTCGTTCTTTTCTCGATGCGCCGTTATCCTTGGTGGGTCAGGTACGCCGTCTGCACTTGGTTTTCTCGCACGCTGTCAGCCCCTAAGCAACAGGTTTGGCTTGCAATAGTGGCCTCAATATTAGTTGGAAATTAATTAACCTGTAAATTTGCATTATTAACTTGCTTTATGTATTTTTTTTTGCAGTTTCCCACAGGACTATATAAGTGCTTGGCACTTGATCAACAAGAACAGAGTGAGCAAATCTCTGTAGATTTTCCGTTCTCACCTGCCGAGTGCTTTTTCCGATCGTTTTTCGAATTAGCTTATCGACATGTTTGCTGCCTGAATTTTCTAAGAAAGTGAGCGTTCTCTTCAAAATGTATTACGGTTTTGGTCGTCGTATTTTATATGGGATATATAATTCATGAATTGCTGCGCGCCATCGTTAAATGACAACCTAGTTGAGAAGTGATTGCGATGGCCATTGTTGGCTTGCTGTGAGCGATGCCTTATAGGCCAGCGCATTTCCTACTTGGCGGCTCGCTTATGTCGACCCTATTGCGGTATCTCTTAGTTTGTTGATAGGCATTTAAAAAAAATTGCCACTCTTCGTCCTCAGCGAATCCACCACTATATGGTTTCAAGACATTTGAACTTTTCCACGAAGAACCCAGTCGATAAATTGTTTGGTAATTATTTTTGCAGGCCTTCGATCCTTCCCAAGAGGTTCGCCTAATGAGTCGTATGTGAAGCACTTTTTCAAATGGCCCTGAGAACTCATCCAGCATCTCTTACTTCTTGCTGCCGCAACAAAGCTGGCATACCTCAGAGTACGTCATGTGCACCCATGTCCCCGTTTAACAAATGTTGTACGTTATCAACATTTACAGAGCAGTAACCCCACATTAGTCAATATTCAACGTGCAGATACGTCGGAAAACAGCGTTCATGAGCGAGCACGTGTTGCTGATGATTTATTGCAAGCGTTTTGTGAGCTGTCAAAAAGTCATGCAGAAAAGGAGGTAATGATTGTTTATAACGTTTGTAAGTCAGGATGTTCATGCACTAGTTTTTTTTAACGGCCTTTCTTGATTAAGGTCATCAATTTGCGTCCCAGCAAAGCTCCCTCTCCCACCAGAAATCAAGTTCGTTTTTCTACCGTCTCAAATTGCTATGTAAAGTTTGTCCAGATTTGTGTTCTTTATTCTACTTCTCGCATCCCATTTAACAGAGAGGACCTGCTGCCACCCTGCTCAAGTCACAATACGAAGAGATGAGCGGGTTTATTCCAGCTATCTGCACTCTTTAACGTTGCCTGTTCAATTACTAGACTTGTCAGCCAGGTGAGCATTTGGTCTTCTTATTTCTAATGCTGATAGCCAGAACTTTTACGAAAGGACTTAGTGATCTTTGTAACATTTTCAGCCTCCGTTTGCTCTTCAAGTACTGATTAATTGCTTGACTGAGTTATTATGCGAAGTGCAGAATATGAGGATAGGTCCATTTCTGGACGATCTGCCCTCAGATCACTACAAGGTTAAGTTATAAATGTTTGAAATGTATTCGAACGTGCAATATTCTGGGTTCGTTTTGGGTCCGACAAGGTAAGGTTTTCAGTTAGTTTTTTTATTACAGAGTAACACTGTATATGCCGTTGCTCAACCGACGGCTAGCAAGAAACAGCCGACTAGTGGATCAGAAACGGAGAACACAGTTAAAAGGAAAAGTAAGGAATTTATTCAAGTGGTAGTCGACTGGCCATTTCAACTTGGTCTTTGAAATCTCAATATCACAGCATTCTCGTAGTGTCAGAATTGATTAACAGGAACCTCGAATCGATTTTATTGACTGCGGTCTTGAAGCACTTTGAAATCATGCTAACTTTTCGTTCTAGAACCGCAAGGTCCAGAGCGCCGGAATGACAAAAACCGAAAATAGGACATGCTGTGTTGAAAACGAACTGTTCGGTACGATTGGAGTGCCATGTGAGTTCAAGTGTCATCAGTATTGTCTCCAATGCTTGGGAAGAGGTGGTTAACACTACGTCGTGTTTGGTTATTTGTGTGTGCGTCATGATGTTCGGCATCACCCAAGGAATAGTCTGCAGAGGGCAGGCAAGATCGGGTTGGATGAGTCGTGGACCGAGATGTGCGGGGCATACATGAACTGAGCAGAAACTTGCACCGAATTTAGCAGTGCTGAAGTCAGAACTTCCGTAAATGAAGTGCAGAACAGGCCAGAGACAGAGAACAAATACACAAGGATGAGTTGCGTTTATTGCGCAGAGGGTAAGGCGCTCTCGGAAAGGGTAGTGCGGTTCAGGAAATCTGTAAGGCCCTGTCCAGCGTTGGCCGGCCGCTCACGCGAAAAAAATGCACTGGCGGAATAAGTGGAAAATTTCTGCCACGATTCATATAATTGGGAAATTGGGGAGCGCGTAAGCGAAACGTCCGGAGCAGGCGAATTTCAGTCAAGAGTTTGATATGTATCGACTGTGAGAAACGCACAGGCGGAAAATCGCGTGAGCGAAGCGTTCGGAAGTCGATGCGTATGATACTCATTTTCGTCGATCCTCCCACTTCACGATTCTCCTGTGCGTCTTCGCACAATTGATTCATATCTTTTTATTTCGTCTCTGCGTTTTTGTGTAACCTTCCAACCCTAAACACTGTAACACGGTTTCGAAACAGCTCAGAGAAGGAACTTATCCATGAGGGTGAGTGATTTGTAGGGTGAGCTGGGAATGTTTTTCTCTTCCCCCGTTGTAAGGCAGGGAAAAGAAGGGCCAAATGTAAAAGTTCTGAGATGGCTTTGTAATAGTGCAAAGATCTTAACAAATAATGAAGTAGCCTGTTTTGTACGAGCTATATTTTTATCTTTTTTTATACCAGATTAGTCCCCCGTCAACCGCCGGGACCTTCCTTTCCTGCGCAAGCTTTCTATCCTCCGCTATGGTCCCTTCCTCCTGTGACACCAACACCTCGTGGAAGTGACGCGTATGCAACACAATGGTGTTTCATACAGTAGAAGGGACACAATCATGATATGACGGTAGATTTTTCGCTTCCCTTCCTCATCCTCCCTTCCTCTCTCCACTGCCCTCCAGCTGCCACTGCAGCACCATGTGGAATGAACGGAAGTGTGCTAAGCAGGTGTTTATATAGCCCTAAGAGTGTTATCACAACTATCCTGCTACAAAACATTGATATCTCAAATCCTGTAAGCTACCCGATTTGTTAGCGGTTTGTTTATCCCATGAGCTTCCTTCTCACTCACTTCATTTTGCGGACGGACACACATACATACATACATACACACATACATACAAACCGACACACAAAGTTAGCGCTTTATATAATAGAAGGATAGAGCTTTATCTTCCAACTTCCTTCAGGAGGTGGGGCCTGTGCTATGGCTGCTCCAAACTTAGCATATAAGCCCGTACATTTGCCCTCTCCTCAGCCCTATCTACTGTGTGTTTGAGGTTAGCTCTCATTTCAGTGTCTGCAGTGGACCCCTTAGCTACAGCGAGGCAGATTAGTGGAACCAATATGAGACGGAATGCCGAGAAGCGGCTCGTTAGTAAAGAAAACGGAACAAATGTATCGGTGCCTGAGGACTCGAGAGACGGTTCAGGTATTATATTTTGAATCAAAAATATAATTCTCATAGGAGCATTCGTGTGTATAGCTGTCCACATTAAAAATTACTTTCAAGTAGAAAGGTATACCGGTGTTCTATTTTCAGGTAAAAATGGCAAGAAAAAACGCGGTGTCAAGCGTCGTTAATATGTATAGTGTTAATTCAGCTTTTGTTAATTTTCTAGGCCAGTCCTTTCTCGCTTGAGTTACTAGTCGTTCGTTTTAGTCAATTATAATCATTTGTGAGCATCACTTTCGTTTTGTTGTTTATCTCGCACAACGGTTATATTTACATGATCTCTTGATTTTGTTGGAAAATGGCTGTTTCTAGTTGACATTAAAAATGTGTTTGCTTTCTGCGGTATTTCCTATTCAAGTGCATATGCAATTCCAAATAGGGGTGAGCTCATTGCGCCGACTGAAGTCGCTTCGGGTCCCACCCTTCCAGTCAGTAGTCGAGGACATTCATATCTTTTATCTTCTTGCATTCGCCAACCATCGACAGAGAGGAAGTGAAATGGGTTGTGTGGGTTCCCATCCAATACCTCGCCGCCTTGGGTCACTGTAATTCACATGTGATTTACTCGGCCGCGCTCTACTACGCCGTCCCAGGCTGGTGTCAGAGTGTGCGATTCATCGCGCAATTCGCGCGGGACGCAGAAATCGCGAGTGCTACGATCAATGCTGCGAGGTGCTGCTCCAATCCCGCCTCCAATTCTTCTTGATTGTGATGATTGAATGACCGCACTTTAACTCACCTCCACATTCGTTGCAAGCGCTTTGAATTTTGGCCAAAATGGGAAATCCAGTTGACGAAAATTAGGCAACCTGACAATTGATCTAACTCATTTTTTCCTAAGGAGCCTCAGGAGAAATCAGTCAGTGATGTGCCTTCAACTCAACAACGTCTTACGAGCATTCCACTCTAAACTTCCCAAAAAGTCGCGCTGTTCCTTTTTCAATTTTGGTGTTTCCCGCCAGAAATCTATGGTTTGGCAATAATTTGTCGCATCTAGGCTTTTCTACAGTTGTGGCGTAATAAGTGGTATCTCAAAAACAAGTCATGACTAATACGAAACCTGCCTGATTTATTTCATCATATTCTAGGGAAATTTTTTTTGAAATGATGTGGTCATTCTGGTGGACTGGACATCTTATCATGTAGGCCTGAAGTTCGACCTATTTCATAGTGGAAATCAAAACAAATTCTATGGCCGAATAGAGCAGAAAAGAACCTACGAACGCGTATAATTCAATTGTAACAGAAAAAATTGATTTGGGAAGTTTTCCTTTAAAAATCGCTAAGGCCTAGCGCTCAAAGAGAAAAACACAAATTAAAAGAAAACACGATATGGCTTTTTCAGCAACCTACTACGGAATGTTTGGGAGAGGACGTGACTAAATAGACGGCACATCAGTGATCGATTTTTCCTAGGGGAATTTTGTTAGAGCTAGCACTTGGATAATTTCACCGACTGGACCAACCATTTTGGATGCCCGAATTTCAACACGTTGCAAAGAATTGGAAGGGACACATACATTCTATAGAGCATACACAATCCCTTTCGTATAATGTATGCTATACGAAGTTATTACGGTTAAAAATGCGACACAACATATGGGACAACGTAATACAGGGGGGGGGGGAGGGAGCCAAAAAAGTCATCTTGCTCATGGCATGTCCATATCATCAAACTTTTTGTCGCCAAGGATGCCACTGTTATTGGGAGCCATACGGCGAAATATTCCTCAGATGTCCCCCACCCCCATAATCAGAATCAGACACACCTTCGCTGCCTTCACCATCTCTTCAAAATATGACGTCATCTGTCATCACTCTCGAGCTAAAGGAGGTCCACCATAATCTCTCCATCTGAAGTTATTACATAATTTCTTCAATCGGATAACTGGTGAATGGCTTCTTAGGGACACTAGCTCTGACTATGCAAATGGCTTTTGACCAGCGTTTCAGAGACGTTGTAATCATCTATGGTTTCTCGACGACATCGTTGAGCTCGTACCGTGCAACCATGTTTCCGTGGATGAATGCAATTTTTCGACTAGACAGTAATGTGTCTTCAAATATCATCGAGCTTCGTTGATGTTTTGGGCAAAACGGTAATTATCTGTTTGGAATTGGAATGATGATGGACTCATTTTTGTGCCCTCCCCCCCAAGTAGATTTCGATTTTTGAATTTTCAAGTAAACAGCAACTATCGCATTCCAGACAAGTATATACGTTACCTACTTCTATTTGGCTGTCGTTGCCTTCTTCGAAGCCTGGAAGGACGAGAACCATTCAAGAAGCAACTTGTCTAAATATTATTTCAGCCTACAGAAATCAATCGACACGGCGTAGACTTACTGAAGGTGACGTCATGGAAAAAGTGAAGACTAACCTCTAATAAATGTCGACCAAAAAGGTGACAGCGCCGATTATTCAGACGACTTTCAACATGCCTATAAAGTTTGAAAAACTGGATCGTTATGCAGGCATACTGAGACGAACTGCGTACAGGGCAAGTGCGCTACTTACCGTGCGCGCGTCCTGGGAATTGCGTCCGGAGCCGTGACGTCGCCTGAAGCCAAACAAACGTCCCCCCCAAGCCAAATATTTATACCAGACTTTGTGTGGGAGGATTAAAAACACTCGATGCCAAGTTGTTGTATAGGCCAATTCGCCTCCAGGTTGCCACTACTTTGAAAGAAAGCAGGATGCGTGACTCATTTAAAAAAAAAAGAATTTATCAACCTTTATCCCTTTATTATACTTTAGTGCAGTTGCTCCGCCCGCTATCGCGCGCATCACACGGCAGGCTTTAGCGAAACTGAAACCCATGGAATATCAGCATGAGGTACTCCATTAACCACCTCACTATTGAATGTGTTAGACCTTTCCCAGTTTCGCTGAAGTCCATCGAGAATACGCGTGATAACGTCTGGAGCTGAACTGGCATATTTATCTCACAACTGTAAACATCCAGCATTCTTCTTGAATTCAGATAATTTAGCGGTGAATAGGATTGCTGTCAGTCTCAAAATGAAAATGAAATATGCTATTTACATAAGTGAAGAGCTAAGGCTTATCATTTATTCATACATTCACCATTATTTAGAACCCCGGAAAGGGTTAGCGGTTTAATGAGTTTGGGCTTTCTTGATATTGCATTAGAAAGAAAACTTATCATTTGCTGAAGACTTGATTGAGTTTATGCAATCGACTGCTATTAAGTAAGCTGGTCATACAATGATATAATGTGCACGTACCACTACAAATAGAATTTGTAAGTAGAGACGCTCTAGTGCCAGCGCAAGCTAGGTAACTGAATCGACGATTTCTGCGTTCTGACGCGCCTTATCAACCTTTATCAGTTGTAACATTTCCATCAATCCCCGTCCATCCTAACATTATTGTAATATGGATCCCATAGTGCAAACGCGAAAAGCTGGGTAACGGAATCACGAAATTTTGCATCTAAACGCGCCTTATCGCCTTATCAGTTGTTATCAAATTATAACGCACATAGGCATACAAATGTTCCCGTCCCACCCCTCATAACGCTTGTAAGTATGGTTGCTCTGGTGTCAATGCGAGCCGGTAACGGAATCGACGACTTTCGCGTTCCAACGCATCTTATCAGCCCTTATCAGTTGCTATCGCTTCCATCATGTACCACCAATGTCCCGGGACCACCCCACATAACACTTGTAAGTATAGACGCTCTAGTACCAATATGAACGACAAAACGAAATTGGCGATGCTCGCTTTCTAGCCCCTCTTATCAGCTATTATCAGTCGTTATCAGTTCCTATCACGTACCACTTGTGTCCCCATCCCACCCCCTATAACATATGTAAGAACCATGGCGCTATCATTGCTGTGACCCGAGCTATGAATTTCCGGTCAAAACACACACACACACACACACACCAACAGACACACTTAGCCGATTATATATAGTAGTTTAGCTCCGCAGCATATCGCCGCGCATAAAAAATGGTGTGACAAACACACCCAATTCCTCATACATTATACGAAGTTATACGATTGAAGAAAGTTTTACTTCTGAGGTCAATCGCAAACTTAGTGGAGAGAATTTTTTGAAACATTATCTTCATCTTAATCCCATCGGCAGATCACAGCAACATCAAGACATCAATCTGCAATAGTGCCTTTAATCTGCAAAAGTGCAATAGCAAATTGATTCGACCATGAATCAGGAGTTAAGTTGGAGGAAAAACCCAGCAATCATCACTGCCTCTCCAAAAAAGCGCTCTTGCATCAAGTAAAATGGGCCTGTGATCGAAGAATATGCGATGAATATAATTCTCGGAAATTTGTGGAAATTCTACTTAGTGTTCCTCTCCATAATCCGCACCTTAGCCTTCAAAAGAGACCTTTGATTCTTTTCAGTATTAATGCGTTTTTGTACTGTTACATAACTCCTGACGTAATAACTATCAAATGCTATTGAAATGACTTTCAGAGAGCGATGTAGTTATCAACAATTACCACTCGGCGTTTTGCTTGAAAATGGGCACAGATTGTTTGAGCTGTGTAACAGAAAAAATACTTCACTCAAGTCAAGTCAGGTGTGAATACAAATTTGGAAGGCGTGCTTTTGACCTGGAATGAAGTAAAATAACATTAATCTTTGGAAGCAGAAAATTATGGAAGTCGTCGCATTAGCGCAAAACGCTAGCGGATCTAACCCTTTTAGGAACTTTTATAAGTGAAACAGTTTTCTCGCTGCTCCCAAAAGGGCAACATCTCGCATTCTTCACAGTTATATTAGTTTCCGAAACAGCGCCATATATGAACACAGAAGAGGAAGCGCGCCTCCAACCCAGTATCGGAACCTTAAAAGTGCGAAAATTATGAAAGAGATAGATAAGCAAAATTTTTACTAAAGCATACCCGTTTGATCATTATGGAGATTCCGGATATTTTACTGCACACCACGGGACTAAGACATAGTATACGCTGAAGTCTTAAGGTCAAGGTTTCCGAGAAAACTCAATTCCCTCAACTCAGCGCGCATGAAAAGACAGTCAACGGAGGCACACTTCTGACCTAGAATGATGACTTTGAATGAATGAAACTTTAGAAGCAGCGGCTGGAGAAGTGCATAAAGTTCACAGGTCGCACCTTCTTGAGAACTCTAATGTCTGGAAAATCACGCTCTCAAAAAAGGCTTCCTTTCTCGGTGTCACTTCCCAGAACAGGAAACAGGTACTTCCCACATATGAGGCACCCTGGCTCGCGAACCTTAGACTTGCTACTTCCAAAGAACAGAAATCAGGTTCTTCGATAGAGATCAGGTTCTTCTCGAACTTGAGGCATCCTGGCTTGAGATCTTAGACCCGCTACTCCACACATGATCAGGTTCTTCTCAAGCTTGAGGCATCCTGGTTTGTCACAAAATACCTGAGATTTCAAGGCTAAGCACCACATTGGAGTGAATTTAAAAATTAGGATATTCTCACCAACCCATAGTCATGCGCTTTCTCAGCCGGTGATTGTTTCTTTGGAACGGCGCGGAAGAGTGGCAAAACCGCTTCAAAGGTCGTACCTTTTTGGGAATGCGGAATCATGAAATTCATGTTCTCAGTACGGACCCCCCTTCTCGGACCTGCTACTTCCAAAGAACAGAAATCAGGTTCTTCTCAAGTTTGAGGCATCCTGGCTTGAGACCTTAGACTTCCTACTCCACAACATGGACATCAGGTTCTTCTCGAACTTGAGGCATCCTGGTTGTCACAAAATACCTGAGATTTCAAGGCTAAGCACCACATTGGAGTGAATTTAAAAATTAGGATATTCTCACCAACCCATAGTCATGCGCTTTCTCAGCTTGAATACAGGCGCAACATGCTATTCCGTTAGTGTCTTCGGGAAAACTTCTTTCCCTCAACTCAACACACATGAGGAGACAGTCAACGGAGGCACGCTTCTGACCTAGAATAACGGCTCTGAAAGGGTGGACGCCTTAATATCGGAACGGAGGCCGAAGAAGTGCAAAAAAGTTCAAGGTCGTCTTCTCTAGCATATGCGCTCATGGGAAATTCATGTTCTTACAGATACGCGACTCCCCACATTCATCGACCTGCTACTTCCCCCAAGCCAACCAGAACTCACGGTTCTATCCTTCCAGGTTTGAGGCCTCCTGCTGAAGATCTTAAACCCGCTAACTACCCACACACACAAATCAAGTAGATTGTTTTTTCTCTCAAGCTTGAGCCGCATCCTGGCTTGTCACAAAATACATGAAGATTTCAAGTCTATCAGCCACAATTGAAATAATTCAAAAAATTTACGGATCTCTTTCACGCTAACCCATAGTCATGCGCCTTTTCTCGCTTGACCGATCAGGCGCAACACGCTCCTTCCCGTTAGCGTCTTCGGGAAGACTGCTATTCCCTCCCGTCCACACAACCTCGAAGCAAGACAGTCAAAAGGAAAAGCGCACGGACTATCTAACTAGAATAAACGCTCTGGAAGGGTGACTCCGTTCTTGGAAGGGCGGAGAAGTGCAACAAAGTTCACAGGGTCGTCCTTTTTCCGGGAAACAGGGGGCGGGGGGGGGGCGGGGGGGCGGGGGCGGCGGGCGGCGGGGCGGATCCGCAGGCATCATGCAATTCATGTCTCTCAGTAGCGCCGACCCCCTTCTGCGCGCATTGCTGACTCCTCACCAAAGACAGCGAAATCAGGTTCTTCTCAAGCTTGAGGCATCCTGGCTTGAGACCTTAGACTTGCTACTCCACACATAGAGATCAGGTTCTTCTCAAGCTTGAGGCATCCTGGTTTGTCACAAAATACCTGAGATTTTCCCATAGCGACTATGCAACAAGCCCACATACTTGGAGTAAATTCAAAAATAATAGATACTTATATTCACCACCCATAACGTCTATCACCGCGCCTTTTCTCCAGACTTGACAAGACCCACGCGCAACCCAACCGGGCTAATTCCGTTGCGTCTCGGGAAAACTCTAATTTCCCCTCCCTCAACACCCCATGCAGCAGACAGTCTCTACGGAACCGGCACCTTCCCTACACCTACGAATACACGGCTACCCTGAGACCACGGGTGATGTTACCATTTTGGCACAGGGGAGGAGAAGTGCAAAAGTTCACCAGGTCGTACCTTTTTGGGAATGCAGAATCATGGAAATTCATGTTCTCAGTACGAACCCCCTTCTCGGACCTGCTACTTCCAAAGAACAGAAATCAGGTTCTTCTCAAGTTTGAGGCATCCTGGCTTGAGACCTTAGACTTCCTACTCCACAACATGGACATCAGGTTCTACTCGAACTTGAGGCATCCTGGCTTGAGACTTCTCCTCAGACCGCTACTCCACACATCACGACGACTCACAGCGATTTTCTCCAAACTTTTAACGCAATCCCTGGCTTTGAGCACCTCTTCTAGAACCTTGCCCCGTACTCCACCCCAACACTGGATGACAAAGTTATTCCCCGCGAAGCTTCGAGGCATCTAGCCTTGTAGACTCTTAAACGCCGCTCACCTCACCCACATAGAGATCAGGTTCTTCTCAAGCTTGAGGCATCCTGGCTTGAGACCTTAGACTTGCTACTCCACACATGATCAGGTTCTTCTCAAGCTTGAGGCATCCTGGTTTGTCACAAAATACCTGAGATTTCAAGGCTAAGCACCACATTGGAGTGAATTTAAAAATTAGGATATTCTCACCAACCCATAGTCATGCGCTTTCTCAGCTTGAATACAGGCGCAACACGCTATTCCGTTAGTGTCTTCGGGAAAACTTATTTCCCTCAACTCAACACACATGAGGAGACAGTCAACGGAGGCACGCTTCTGACCTAGAATAACGGCTCTGAAAGGGTGATGTTTTGGAAGGGGCGGAGAAGTGCAAAAAGTTCACAGGTCGTACCTTTTTGGGAATGCAGAATCATGGAAATTCGTGTCGTACACTACTCGGCACTCCTTCCGCCATGGCGAACCTGTCCGGAGAACAAGAAACCAGGTTTCCCCATAGTCTCTTCCCGAGGCACTCCTCCGCGTGCCGCACGCGAGCATCCTGAGATCAAGGGGGTCAAGCTAGGCATCGCATTGGAGTGAATTTGAAAAATAGGATATCCTCACCGACCCATTCCCATGCAGTTTTTCGTTTCGAAAACTGGCGCAAGATGAGACTACGTTAGAGTCTTCCACGAAATCCATTTCGTTTTAACCAACACACCTAATCGTAGCCTCGTGGAAGCAATTTTTCAGCCTAGAATGACGGAACTGTGAAACGTTAGGAGAATTTAAAGTGATGGATTAATTGAAAATGCTTAAGAAGCGTACCTTTCAAGGACATAATTTGTGCGTTTTGGAATCATGCAAGTTTCTTCAATTTTCTTAGAATGGACTTAGTATATATTTTGCGCCTTTTGAGTAATGGCATAGCTCCTGACATGATAATGCTGAGTCTTCAGTCGCAATGGATTAGAAGACTATGATATGGTCACCAACCCGTAGCCACGCTGCTTTTACTCTTCGAAACTTTCACATTTGTGTTTTCATGTTTTGAAACACTTCGCTCAATTCTATGAAGGTGATGTAGAACTTTAGGAGGCACTCCTTACACATATAAGGATGCTTGCCATGGAAAAGAGAAAAGTTTGAGATGACCGGATAAACACTGGAGACACTTCTATTATCAAAGTTGTTGTTTGTCATGTTTTACAGCAAAACTTCGCTGAATACTATGTTTTTCAGCTTGTTCGAGGGAGACTTCACTTTAATTCCATGGGGTGTTCGCGCACGGGAGAGCGCAACATATAACTGCCCGTGGGAAAACACGGGCTCAGGTAGAAAGACTCCGACCTTGTTAAATGATTGTCCCTGTGCCTTGTTGATCGTCATCGCAAAAGCTACGCGGACAGGGAACTGTCGTCGACGAAGTCTGAAGGGAGTCCTCTGGTCCCAGTAATTGTCTATCCTCGGAATTATAGCCAATTGGTCTCTCCTATCTCCGCAGATGAACGTGCAGCCCAGCGTGAAGCGTCCGAGTGTTTCAACCTTAAGACGTGTCCCATTGCACAACCCATTCGCCACGTCCAAATTCCTCAGTAACATAACTATTGCCCCCTTTTTCAAATGTAGCTCATGTGGAGGCATACCCGTGGGTGTGAGGGAATTGAGATACTCCAACTTGAAACAGCTGTCGTGACTGTCCTTCAGGGTAGATAGGCCTCGTCAACGCTTTTGTAAACGCGCTCATCCTGTGCTGTTTCAACGATAAGACGTTGCAGTGCATCCTCATTCAGGCGCTGGACGTGCACATTCTTCGGGGCCAGGACAGCATTTTCGCAAAGATTCGAAGTGGTTGACGGGTCGAGAACATTGCCAAAAACTTTCTGTGATTATATCCGTCGTACACATCATCTCTTCAGAAATAACTGTACAGCCGTCATCATCATTGGATTCCCCGCTGCCAATTTCAAGTAGACGTTCACGCCAATCGCTGCCAGCTTCACACGCCCTCATGTTCATCTCAAGTCGGTGCACACGAAACAATGGCCACAGAAATGAATTCAAAACGCAGGCTTCTACAATATCTTCACGTTGACCGTGTTCAACAACTGGCAGGATCTGTCGGAAATCACCCCCAATCACAATTAATTTACCGCCAAAAGGGGCGTCCACTTGCATTATATCCTTAAGGAGGGCATCCACTGCTTCGAGAGCGACTTTTGGAGCCATGGAGATTTCATCCCATAATTATCATGTCTGCCTCCATAAGGCGCTCAGCTTCTTTTGTTGTCGTCTCATTGAAGACGTTCGATTTCCATCGCTGAATATTCAACTTGAAAACTGAATTCACAGTTCGCCCTCCAGGAAGCAAGTTGGCCGCAATGCCAGTCCAAGCTACACACAGTACATTGTACCTCCTTCCAACAGCTATGTTGTAAACCGTGCTGTAGAGATATGTCTTGCCACTGCCGCCAGGCCCGTCTACAAAGATGCACCTGTTTTGGGATCTATCCAGCGCGTCAAGTATATCGTCTGCTGCTTCCTTTTGCTTAGTGTTGAGGGTTTCGTATTGATGCAATCCGTCCCTCTCATAACTTGCATAATCAATCGGCAGTAGTGGTAAAGCTGGCCTTTCTCCGGTAGGCGGAGTAATAATTTCTCTCAAATCTCTACCCATTGTAGCCACTCGATCGAGGATGTCGAAGTAAGCCAAAGCGATTGCGGACTCTCCATCGACTCCCTGGTGAACATAATCGTCCGACATCATATTAGCGAATTCCTCCCACAGATCTTGCGCCTGTACCAATTCGGAGAAGCACAGCAGACAGGCGAAGAAGCTCCTCATTGCCGCTGCCGATTGGTAGTGTGCAACTTCTTGCAGGCTTTGTCTGTAGTATCTATCGTCGTCTAAGAACCCTGCAGCTTTTGCGGCATCGGCGAACGAATCATAAGTCGTGCCATCGACAGTTCGAACGTCCTCAAAGGAGGTTTTTCCCTTGACGTTAAGTAAAAGTATTCGTAGGCAATATCGCTCCCTATCAAGTGGCGACACTGTGAACATCCGGCCAATTTGCGTACCACCACGCATCCTCGGTGTCCATCCCCGTCGGGGGTTGAAGATGAAATATTCTGGTAGTTGATAATAGTAGAGACAGCGAGGGTCAACCGTAAAATCTGCTGGCAGTCCATTTCGATAGGTCTCATTGCATCGCCTGTTCAACTCGAAAAATGCTGTCAGAGTTGTGAAATTTCCTTCCAGCTTGCTCCAGGTACTGCTGCTCTTGTCCTTGGACAAATCGCACAGTCTGAAGCTCAGGCAGGTGGACAGCCAACCTGCAAACCGTATGAGATTTGTCCTGTATGGTGTACCCAAAAATTCGGTACATGCTTTGCGGGGCGCACACATAGCGGGTATTGAGGTGCTGTTTGATTTCATCGATGGCCTGATTGTCGCCTACGGCTGGTTCGTTTTCGATGCTAATGTGAGCACGATCTGGCCCTTTATAAATGTACTTATAGAGATACTTGACCGCTGAGATCATGCCGCAAATTTCAACGTTGATGTGGCAGTCGTACTTGAGGAGAAGATACGGGTTTGTTGGTACCACCCATTCATCCCCGTAAGGAATACCATTGATTTCGGTAGGTGAAAGATTACGACGTCTATAGTTGGGATATCCATCTACGTCGAGAGTGGTCCTTTCGCGAATCTGTTTCGGAAACCTCTTCGAGCATGATCCATTTTGCATGCAAGGAGAACGGGGATCCACGGCTCCGCATTTTCGATGGATCATGTAGGAGGTCACAGCAGCATACAGCTCAGGTTCTGCTTCTCTGTTTGGGATCTCTGCGCATACAGATTTATCCACTTCTTCCGCGGTGCGCACTCTCCAGTCGTCTTTCATAATCAGGAGCATGTGGCAGTGTGGTAAACCTCGTTTTTGGAATTCAATGACGTAAACATAAGCTTCCACTTCGCCCAAAACGTGCTTCTTGAACAGGTCCTTGCAAAGTTCCTGCAACTTCGCGTTAAACACACGTGCCACTAAATCAGGTCGATCAGATGTCGACTGTCCAGGAAAGAGGTTTTCTCTTAGTTCCCTCCATTGCGGATTACATGTCATCGTCAGAAAGTATGTTGGCCTTCCATACCGAGCTACAATCGCCATTGCATCTTGATACGCCTGCTGCATTCCTCGAGGACTACCTAAATGCGATGACGACAGAACCACACGGTTTCCAGGAGGTCCAAAGTTGTCATCTCCCGCCAAATAATCCTGCAAACCTCTGTAAGTGTCACGGCGTAGAATGAGCTGGTTTCTGCGATGGAAATTGAGACGATTCTGTTCAATCTTAACGTAGGCGTCAACCGCAAATTGTTGGCATAACTTTCCGGCATATAGAATCGGATTGAAAGTGTCCCGTATGGAAAACAGATATGCGTAGTACTCTCTTTGTGAAATACGTGCTCCCTCTCTATTTCTCAAGCCAGGCTCCCAACCACCTGCGCCAGTAGGGAACAGGAGCGGATACGTCAGCGGGTCACAGATTTTGTCGATATCACGGATGTTGATCAGCTGATCTTCTGCAGTACCACGCAGATGAACTGCTAGACTTCTGTTTGCCGGCACATCGTTGTCTTCTCCAACATAGATTACTGCAACTTCATTGGCAGTGGGAAGATCGTATTGTCGCCGTGCCAATCCTCTTTGGGAGCTTTGTTCAAAAACCATGCGGATGTTGAACTGGAGCACGGTTCTCGCGAGCTGCCAACTGCGATTTCCGCTTGTTCGACTTCATGCATCATTTTGAACGACCGAGCGTAATTATTAACATTCGATAGTAGTCTACTAAGAGAGTGCATTAGTCCTGGGTCGCACTCACTGTTTCTGGCGTTTCCGAGACGCTGCTGTGCAGCAAGCTCCGTGTCCAGTATGTATATCTGGCCGTATTGACGTGGTTCTCCAACTCTGGGGTGGAGAGGTCCTAGCCTGTGGTAAATCTGCCCATGAATTCGGTAACAGTAGGGCCCACGTCCTTGCAGCGCATCAACTTGCGCACCCATGGAAGCCATCGCTAATGCGGAGTTGAAAGATCTTATGTTTTCATGAAAATTCTTCCAGACACGCCGCACTTCTTCACTTGGTTCAGGTCCGCGTACAAAGAGAACACGCAGCTCTTCAGGAAAGCTCTCGAAAAAATTAAGTGTGAATCTTCCAAGGTCGCAACACTCTCGAAACTTTCCCGGATGATTGGCCTTGACTTCGCTAAGAAAGTGCAAGGCTCCGCAATCTACACATCGTTGGTTCAGCTCTCCTAGATAATGCTTTTCTGCTATGCGCGTGTGCAATGCAGCTCCCGTAGTCGATGGTGGTCTGTTTCGTCGTCGACGATTAGCTGAAGCATTTGCTTGTAATCGAATAGATCGCTCATGCTCGGTTTCTTGGGTGCGACGTCGTTGATGTCGTTCAGCGTCCTCTCGAAGTCGAGCTGCTCGCGCTCCGCTGCTTTCTACTTCGCGTCTTCGTTGGAGGCGCTCAGCCTCCACTTGCGATCTAGACGCTCTCTCCTCTGCACTGTCAGATGCGCGTCTTCTTTGTTGAGTTTGAGCGTTCGATTGCAATCTGGCGTCCCGTTCCTCAGCGGTTTCTAGTTGACGCCTTCTTTGCTGCCGTGTGGCGTTCGCCTCCATTCTAACTTGTCGTTCCCTAATGCCTTCCGATTCACGTCGACCTCGTTGTCGTTGAGCATTCATCTCCATTCTAACTTGTCGTTCCCCGATGCTTTCCGACTGACGCCTCCTTCGCTGTCGTTGGGCATTCATCTCCATTCTAACTTGTCGTTCCCCGATGCTTTCCGACTGACGCCTCCTTCGCTGTCGTTGGGCATTCACCTCCATTCTAGCCGCTCGCTGATCAACGCCCTCTGAGTCGCGCCTCTGTTGTTGCCTTTCTGCATTATCTTGCAACCGAGAAGCTTCGTTCTTCAGGAGTTTCAAGCTGGCGTATATGCCTCACTCGCTCAGCGTTTCTCACGCAGTCTCACACCCCTGTCCTCCACATTCTCGTTCTGTCGCCTTTGATGCTGGCGTGAATATTCGGTCTCCAAACGGACAGTCCTTTCTTGTTCTGTTTCGCGCTGTCTCCTCATGCGTAGGCGTTCGCTTTCGTTGGCATAAACTCGAGGTCTTCCCCTTCTTCTATTCTGCTCCATTGTTCTTGGTCAATGCTGGAATTTCATGCCATCTTGAGGTTGAGCAGAAGTTTTTCCTGCAGCGTAACTACGTGCTAGTGAAATTAGAAAAGTGGTTGATTCTTATGAAGAAAGATCCAAAATGATATCAATGATCTTGGGTCCCCCTATTTTGCACACAGAAAATACAAAAGTGGATAGACATTTTTAAGAAAGTATGGTGATAATAAGAATTCCTAGTTATTTATCCTGATATACTATTTTCCGTGTTTATTGAGAATTAAGGGCGATGAAACCGGAAATCAAAATCACCCGTAATATTGCTTACATGGTTTAGTGTTTGGACCCGTTTCTCAATGGCTTGCTCAATGGTTAGCACTTGAATCCCAAAACCATACAAAAATCTCCAATTCAGTTATAATTACCTGAAATAGAATTCCTAATGCGAGTTCAAGCACTCGCACGAAATAAATGAGAAGCGCTTTTTCTATTATCAACCTCAGCCTGTAATATATCATGATTAGGTTGATACGGCGTTGTGTCAGCGATAGCTATGGCAGCCTACAGTGTTGATGATCGTACATGCAATCAGGCGGTTAGGCGAGTAGACGATGATTCAAATGGAAAATCTACGTATCGATTACGCGATTAGGCGGGTAAGGCGATTAGGCGAGTAGGCGACTGAGTGAGTAGGAGTGTAGGCGATAAGAGAAGGATATGCATTGATTCGTTGCTACGCCACTTGAGCCTACTTCCCTAATCGCCTTGCTTACTCGCCTAAACGCTTAATCGATACGTAACCTTATCCTGATGGACTTATCGTCGAATAGCCAGTTTATGATTTTGATAAAAACAAACCATTCATAAAGGATAAGTTCCGAGAGTCCACATCATTTAGCGGTTGCTCTGAGTGCAATAGTGTTCCTTCCGCCTTTCTGATTAGTTTTTAACGCCATCTGATGTTAACTGCTCATAGCTTTTATGGATTTCTGTCGTTCTATCATTGTCTACATACATCCCTCCACACCGAAAAACGGAGTATACACCAAGGAAGACGGAGACTTTTTGTATTGACTCCAAGCTTTTACTGGCTTTTATTAGCTATTCAGTATCCACCACGTATCTTCTAATCCCGTAAACCTTACAATGACTTCGAATATTCAAATTCAGTGCGAGCAACGACACAATGAACTCCCACCAATTCATTTCGTCTGCTTTTTGCTTGTGTACCTTCACTCTGCATCTAGAGTGCTGACTACTTGACTATATTGCTGGCGATATTTATGGTGTTAAGGATTGAGTAGTAAGTTCCCGCGTAATAATGTGAACATCTAACAAATTTTTTGAAATAGACACAGTCGAGCGGTCCGATAACCTAATGACTAATTTTGCAATTGACATAGTAGGGTCAGACTACATAAAATGAAGAGCTATTTTTGACTCTTCGTCATATTTTGCGAGCAATAAAGAACTTTAAGAAATCCATAAATTCATCAACAAAAACATTGTAACGGGAATATGGATGGATCTGGGTCTAATACTTTTGTGCTTGCTGACTAACTACTACAATGTGCACGTTCCT